CAAAATCATTGAGTAATTAAGAGCTCTGTGCTGGTGCAAGGGTGTACTGCCATGATGTGACCTGGAGCAGCTGTCACATCAGGCATTGTTAGTGAGGAAGTGACAACTCTCTCAGCACCACCACTAAATCTAGTGTTGATGTGGCATCTTTGACTGACACTTGATTCAGATGAACTACCAGATAATGTTAGTAGCAATCATAGCTCCACCACAACATTAAGGAACAGAGATCATTGTCATAAGAACATATTTTAGGAATAACATGCTTGCTCCCCCATCTTGATGAGATTTTGCCCATCCTGGTGAGGAATTAGTTAGATAAACTGATATTCAAAAAGAAAGTATTCTATCTTTTGAATTAAACTGGAAATTCTCTTTCACTGTCTGAGTATAAAAATCTTTGAATTTCATTTTGTCTTAAAGTTTCTTACACTTTAATAGAAGTATTTATCATTTTTCTTGGAAACAAGGCATGCATTCTAATTCTTATGAAATAAATTTTTGAAAATATTTTCCTGCAGTTGAGCACCTTTAATCCTCTCCATAATCAAATTTAGCTTTTGACTTCATAGAGGGCTTTTTATCTACACATAGACTTGCACAAGGCAATAAAGAATCAGAAGGAAGCAGTGATTGATGTCAGCCTTGATGACAACTATGTTCTGTTTCTTTTTACATTACAAAACAGAAGAGAGGGAAGTACAATTGCATTGTTCATATCATGGCTTTTAATTTGGAGATAAATATGTTTTTCCTATTTCTTGTTTTTTTTCCTAGGGAGAATAAAGGGAGAGAAGAAAGCTAATGGCTCTGTATCGGGGCAATAAGAAAAATGTATTGCAAACCAATACAGAAGACTTTTGAGAGACTTATGTAAAATGTGAATTTAAATATTTTCTTACTGTATAGTTTAGCATAAGCCACACAAATATTGGAGGTGCACTAGAAATAGTCTGTGAAAAGACATAAAAATTGTTAGTCAGTCACAGACTGCCAGACATCCTTGAGGTAAAAACAGAACTGCCAAGTATACAAATGCAAACAAGAACTTCAATGGATTTTCTTATACTCTGAGAATGTTAAATTTTCTTTTTCCTGGAACTCAGTAAATCACTCACTTTCAGAATTCCTTAATTGAGAGAAATTCTGTACAGTGATTAGAACTGAAAGCTAGTTCGTCCAGCTCTCTCTCTGTAAAATATACACTCCTGATTCAACTGTTGGAGCTAATCGTAAAGCTGATTTATGGAAATCTTGAAGAAGATTGAAGAAGACTCTTGAAGAAGAGTCTGTCAGCACTTCATGGTATTGAAGATGTAAGACGTTTTCCACATTTTCTCTACTGTAGGCTGAAAAAAACTCCTCATCTCTTCCGTAAGATCATAAACTTCCTTCATCCCAGTCAGCTTTCACAAGGAAAGGTTTCCTTCACCTGGAGGAATCAGCCACTGACACATGTTCCTCAGAAGGATCTGAAGATCTCCAGAATTCATGAGTGGAGCCTCCTCTTCCTCCCATGGCAGCTTTACCCTGCAGCTCTGCAAGCCAGAGTAGAGCCAACACGAGCAAAATCAAGCAGCCTAAATCACTCTGTTATCACCTACATGCAAAAAAAAAAGAAAAAACCCACAACCCCACCTCTATTCAAAATCTACTCGAAGAGACATATAACTGAATTTCATTTCCAAGGCTGAGGAGATACTGGTTATCTAAAAACATATAAAGAGTCTTTCTAAAGCTTTCAAAGTATTTATCTACAAAATAAATAACTGATTAATTTGCATCTAAATTTGCCTAAATAACAATACACTAGAGCAACAAAAGTCAGTGATTTGTTAAGTTATCCCTGTTCAGAAAAAGAAAAAAAGGCTGTTGAACATATGCTTCATTTTAAACACAGATGGAATTAAGTATGTGCTTCTTTTCTGAGTCAGAACTAAAAATTGAAAACCATAACTATGGAATACTTTGCCATGTTACAGCACAATCAACTAAAATCTTGCCACCATATTCTTTCATATGATTTCAATATCCTGTTTGAGTAGGGGGGGTTGGATTGGATGACCTCCAACCTTAGCCATTCTGTGATGCTGTGAATACTGTAGAGATGAAAGCATGTTAGTTATATACTTATTCATGACATAAGCAACATAAAGCATTCTCATTGTTTATGTAAATAGTAAAAAAAGAAATTACCAAAAAGAAAATGTGTCATTTGGATCATTCATTTTTCTTTATTGAGCTTTGATGAAAAACAGTCCATTTGAAATATTTCCAGCAACCATTTCAATTCCAAATGCTCAACACAAAAACTTCATATCAGAGTTCAAACATATAAAGTTACATCTCATTATAATTTAATACTTAACAAAGCTAATCATTTCTGATTTTTCATAATTAAGTTTACAAAAATAATGTTACATTTATAAAATAAATCAGCTTTTCCCAATAAATTACAGTGGTGTTCCTATTCATGAATGTAGCATATCATACAAAATAGATAACAACCTTTTGTCAGATAAAATACTAAAGTATATTTTTCATCCAGTACATTTTGGCAGTGTGTGAAAACATTTTATTGTACATCTGATATCTAAAGTACAGCGTAAAAAGTAAACCCATTAAGCTATTATGAACATCTCATATAAGGCAAGAGTTGCCAACTTGGGAACTACTTTTTATTTCCAGTTAAGTATTTTTAGTCAGACCAGTACTGTGATATTTATGGAACTGACTTCATTGATCTGACCCAGTAA